AAAGTACTTATAAGTCAAAAATAAGCCAAAAGCCATAAGTTGGTTACTCCCAGCTTATTAATTTTTAGCTTATAAGTACTTTAAGTTTGACCAAGATTTTTACTATTTTATCCTTAAAATATTCCTTTTTAGAACAAAATTCCTATATTGATACTCACTGGCTCAAGTATTTTTTTAACCTAGACTCCCCCTCCCTCCTTTTCAAGTCTTCAATTCTCATTGACTATTTAAGATAAACAAATTCTCTATTCATTTACATATTTATATATATGTGATTGTGTATTAATGTTTGAACTGTATATAATAAATAAGGACATATCAAATTTTTGATGCATTGCTTTCTAAGTGTTGTGGTGATGAAGACAGTGTTTGTTTATCTTCAAGTATTTTGTCAATTTATTAATTATTATAACTTAGGATTATATGCTTATCATAAAATAAATTATATTTATCATAAAAATTATCTTATCTAAGCACAATTGTATTTAAAATAAAATGACAAATAGAATACTTTATATTTGAATCGGAATCTAAAATTTTAAAGAAATTACGCACTTATAAGTGTAAATAGTTCTAAGGTCATTTAAATCATTTTAACAGAAAAAGAGCTTATCAGCACTTTTTTATCAAATACTGTAGCAATTTGTTATCAATTTCAGCACTTGTACCCAAACACGTAATTGCTTATTTATTAAATCAGTTTCAACACTTAAAAGTGTTTTTCAGCACCTAATGCTTGTCAGTTAATCCAAACGGGCTACTTTCAAAACTTTTAAGACCTCAAATTCATTTATTTATTCAAGTTTTTATTTTTGATGTTATATTTGTTTTCTCTATTAAAATATATCTTCAATCATTGTCTTAATTCATCTTTTTTCTTCTACCACTACAATTGTACATACGCTAAGAAAAGATCTTAAATCTTCTTTTTTGTAAGTCAAACAAAAAGTGAAGGCCACAGAATGATGAAGTAATGAAATACCATGAAAGGCAGTCGTATTTATAATAATTTTTGCAGAGACCTTTACCAGAATATTATGTTATGGAGTTCTTCTCATAGTAGTGGCTCTTTTGGTCAAACCCTATTTTTTAACATATTATAAGCTTTTAGTGTATAGTTTATTCATGGCAAGTCAAAACTGGCCGACCTTCGAATGTGCCTCCTCCAAATCTCTAAAGGTTGAGAGATCGTGAAGGGGTGTGGCGGAATGGTTAGAACCCGTCCATCTTTAGTCAAAGATTTTGAGTTCGAACAATTAAAATTATAACTTTTAGTAGGGAGCGATTATCCTCTCACAAAATGTTAATCCAATACGAACATTGATTAATCGAGTTAGTAAATTTCAAATAATAAATAATTAAACAAAAAGTTATTTTTCCAAATAATCAACCACTAGTTTTAGCCAAATCCAATTCCAACATTTTTGACCCTTTACTCTCCACAAGAAAATTGGGAGTAGTACTAACGATTATTATGATCTTTACCCACTTAGTTTTTTTTCTTCATATGGAATTCTCGACGTGTTCCAATAACGTTAGTAGTAATAGTAAGACCAATTGTATTCATTACTCACCAACATCAAATCAAAGTGACTGAAAGACAGAGATGTATTTTGTTAGGGTTCAAGGCAAAAAATGACAAAATCTAATGTGTAATTTCCTTAAGAGGGTCCCTTTACTGGCATATAATGTAAGGCTCCATTTGTCCATAAAAAAAAAAATTAAAAGTGATTTGTCTATGAAATTTTGCAAGTTTTTGAAATTTTTCGGAAATAAGTTTTTTAAAAATCAAAAAGTGATTTTGACCACTTTTTCAAAAATTTTAGAAAAACTTTTTGCCTCAATTACAAAACTGCAATATTTTTTCATTAAATACATGTCCACACATAATTTCAAATTTCAAATACCATTTCTCAACTTAATTTCAAATACTACTTTTTTTTCAAAAATTATACTAATTTTTATGTCCTAACGGCTACTAAATGTGTCAAACATTTGAGCTAAATATATCCCATGCATAATTAAAATTTAAACCGTGGGAATATTAATAATGGTTGCTTCTGGACTTAAAAAAATCAATTAATGGTTTAATCTAAAGAATGTTAATTTTCTAGTGAAATACACGAAAAGGAATCATCCTTACATGTTCTTTCCCCAACAATCTATTCATTCGTGATTAATGGCAATATTGGACTTTTTTTAAATGTTAATATGCCATTAAGCAGTGTGCTTAGTAGCTATTTTTAATTATAAATAAATCTTCAAAAGAAACTTTACCTTACAAATCCTAATAGGTATTCTTTTGATCTTTCAAACCTTGAAATGCAACTTAATTGAAGGGGACCATGTCCCTTAAACTTAATTAAGATGCCCCTTAAGCACTTGCAATTGGTATCAAAAAACTCTTTTGTATAGTACAAGTTGAGATTAAAATGTTTGAATTAACTCTCTCTAAAAGCAAGTGGCATAATATTCAATTTTAATAAACTTATATAACATGCTTGTTGCCTCCTCTCCCCTATACTATCATTGACCACTTTCCCTATTAATATTTTTTTAAACTTCATACCAATAATTCCTCTATATATGTAGAACCTTGATATAGCCTTGCTTTGGCCCAATCTATTGACCAAGAAAAAAGAAAAAAAGTTAAAGAAAGTAAATCAAAAAGCCTAATTTTTTGGGGGAAAGCATCACAAAATAGAGATGTAGAGAAAAACTTCTAGCATATAAGTGCATATAATTGAACTTGTTCCAAATGATCATTTCCTTTCATTATATTCTTGTTTAGAGTGAAACTAATACTTTCTTAAGTAATGACATGACAGAAAAATGTTATTAATTCATCTGAAACGCGTGACAAGTAGAAAGTACACAAAATACAAAAAAGATTGACAACTACAACTATTTAAAACTTGAAATTGGAATTTAGGGTTTACATTACGTATTTTTCAGGTGTGGCATAATGGTTAGTAAAGTGGATTGAGAACCATAAAGTTTATATTTAAATTTAAACGGAGAAAAAAATTAAAGCACAAGTTGATTTTTCCTCTTTGTCCAAGCCTTGATGAATATTAGAATTTTTTTTGTATTTGTACCGGTAAAAAACAGTAAATACTTCACAAAATTAGTTAAAATACGTATAAATTGATCGAACACTATAGTTATAACAAAATAGGTAAAGAATAATGTAAAAATAGTACGGGCTAGCCGGTTTTCGGACTGGTCATTCAAAAATAGTCAGTGTTTGCAAAGTCATTAAAAACTACTATTTTGTGGTGACAGGGACCGGTCTAGTATGAACTTCCAGCAAATTATGCTGGACCGATGTATTATACAGGAATTCCAGTATATTATGCTGAAGTATTTTTCGAATTTTGAACAGTATTTTCATTCAAATTTATCTTTACATAAAAAATAGTTAAATTTCGATTCCGTTAAAACTTTAGCTATTTTAGAATTTAGAATTTGGGGTAAGATTAATGGAAGACAAGGCCTTATAAGAGGTACTTGGTGCCTAGTTTTTTCTGTAGGAAAATGATGACATAAATGAAAGACGTGAGCATAGAATTAGATGGTGGGAGGGTAGTAGGGTTACGTAGAAGAAATAAATAAAATGACAACTCAAACGTCAAATCGTAGGATTTCAGATTATAAGACAAGCAGTGATGTATTGTCATTCAGTGCAGATTTGTTTCGACTCCATTTTTCTTCTTCTTTTTCCTTTGAGAGATCCCCACTTAATTAATTCCCCACTTAATTAATTACCCACACTGAGAGGAGAAAATAACAGCTCCTCCCTCTAATACAGACATTAATTATTATTCCCTAACACAATTCAACTGTTTTATGAACGCAGCTATTTGAACTTCTTGTCTTTTAATTAATCTGATTTTAGATATTAATTCCCTAATTTATTTAATAGAATTACATTAATTTAAGTCATTTGAATCAGATTCAACCCTCCCTTAAGTGAAAAAAATACGGCATGGATTGTGCCAAAAATAAACATAAGAACATAATTAAAACTTTATATCAATAAATTAGAATCACTTATATGGATCTCTTTTCCTCCATTTTGCCATATTTTTGTTAGGTTCAAGAGATTGATAATTTTTCGTTATATCCACCTTCCATATGATTTTAGATTTATCTTATCTAATTTAAAAATTTAACTCACTATGATTAGAGGTGAAACTAGGATTTGAAGCTAGTAGATTTGGAATTCTAATTTTTTAAAGTTATTATAATAATTTATAATACATCTTTTAATGATTTTTTCTAGACACATAGAATTTGGACCAAAGTTCACCCGAACTTGTAATCGAACATGTGAGTGATGTTTAGATTTAAACTAGTGCATTTAGAGGTTAATGTAAAATATGTAACGATTTTTTCTCATTTTATCTTAAACATAGATTATAACTAAATAGCTTATTAAATTACATTACATTTCCAAGGACCATTTACTCCTAAATCTTTTCCTTTAAACACTCACTTCTCCAACAAGATCTAAATTTCAACAAAAAAAAAAAAGAAAAAAAAAAGATCTACATGTTTAAATTAGGCAGGCTGATGAATAACCCTAAAATCCAATACAAAAAACTATAAAAAGATAAGAAAAGAAAAACATAGAAAAGAACCAAAAAAGAAGAAGAAAGAAGCAATATAGAATTAGGAACCCATGATTTTTCTATTCAATCTTCATTTCATGTTTTTCTTGAATTTTTCTTTTTTTATCTATATTCTCTCTTCTTTTCCCTTTTATTTTTTTTAAATACCTCAGCCACCCTGTATAACCATCCATATTGCTTCACCC